CAACATTGTCACCCGTCGCTCTAGTCCGAGTCGTCGATCGCGATCACGTCGGCGCGGGCTTTCTGACGCGCGCGCGTGCGCTTCTCGTCGGTCGCCGGTGCGTCGGCAACCACTTCGCGCTTGACCTCGATCTTCTTGTCGATGGCCTTCTTCTGGCGCGCAAACGCCGCTTCGATCGTCGACTGCGCGGCCGGCGACTTGTCGACAGGCAACACCAGCGGATGGTCGATTTGAGGTGCCTTGGGCGTCGTCACCGGCTGGACCACGGCCGGCTTGACAATGATAGTCTCGGGCGACGCGGCAGGCCCACGCACGGCGCGCACCGGGCCGTCGGGGATCGCCACGGGTGGCGGGCGGCGGGCCGCGACAGGCTTGCGACCGCTCGCCGGAACGACGGTCGACCGCTGCTCGGTCAGCCGCGCTTGCTCGGCTTGGACCCGGGACCACACTTCGCTCTCGACGCGCTGGGCCTCCCGCTGGACGGCTTGGAGACGCATCGTTTCGCTCTGCACCCGCATGGCGACCTCCAGCTCAATGCGCTTGGTCTCGCGCTGGGCTGCCTCGAGGCGCAGGGTTTCAGCCTGCACACGGGCGCGCACTTCGGCCTCCAATCGCTGGGCCTCGCGCTGCGTCGTCTCGAGCCGCTGCTTCTCGAGGGCCACACGCGCCGCGACCGCGAGCTCGAGGTCGACGCCGGTGGGTCCCGAAGCACTCGCCTCGGACGTGGCGGCTTCGTGCTTCTGCAGCACGAAGAACGTGTACGCGTCCGCGTTGTGGTGCGGGTCGTGCGCCATCATCTGGCGGGCCTCGTGTGCCATGCGCTGGCGGTCGCCTTCGTGCAGCTTCTTCATTTGCGTGATCGCGCGCACGGCCTTGGCACAGTGCAACACGGTGGTCTCGACCCACTTGGCCGACGGCACTTGCGCGCCCGGCGGCATGCACGTGCGGAACCGGTCGAGCGCCCAAATGTCCTTGACGTGGTCGTCCAGACCAAAGCACTCGACACCCTAATCATCATTTTCATCAATACAAGAGTCGTGGCAATGGGACTCGAACCTGCATGAGCAAAATATCGTGGTCGGGAGAGACCCACCACGACGGCAAGTGGCCCTTGTTGTACGACGCGGCGCGCGTCACACTCATCATGGCCATGTGCAGATCCTGTGGCCGCATCACGAGCACGTCTGTCCGGAGCAGTCGGAAAAACTCGATCCGGTTCACCAGCACCTGCGCCTGGTCGCGCGAGAGCGCCCATTGGTCCTGGGTGCCCCCGAGGATCGACGGCTCGGTCGATGGCTCAAAATGCGGCTGCCCGAGAATCGACCGCGCTGCACGCTCGAGCCCCACGGCTTCGTGCAGGAGCTCGGTCGGCCCCCGCGATCGGACGCTCATCATCGGGTCGTTGATGTAGAAGCGCCATTTTTCACGCTGTTCTTGCGCGGTCATGCACGTGCGCACGTCGGGCACGCCGTACTCGAGGATGAGCGTCATGAACCGCTCTTGGCGGTCGAGGAGCCCGAGGAACTGCATCTGGTCGGCCACGTTCAAGCTGCGCACAAACGGCACGACGGCCTCGGTCGCTTGGAACGGCGGCGCGCGCACATCTTGGGCCCACGCACGCAAGAGCGTCTTCGCTCGCTTCAAAAGCAACGTCGTCGACGGCCAAACGGCGTCGGGCGCCGCGCCGGGGTGGGTACTTGCAGGATACAAGAGCGCATCCGACTTGAGCGTCGCGATCGAGTTCTTGCCGCGCAGCCACCCGACGCGGTGGAGCCCGAGAAGCAAGCGGAGGTCGTCGGTTTGCGGCTGCCACCAGTTGGGCGCGTCCTTGTGCGCCCCCGTGGGCGGAAGCGTCCGGACAACGTTGAGGAGACGGAGGCGCACGAGGACGGTCTCGGGCGGCGTCTCGACGGGCAGCGGCGACGTGTTGGCGGTCTGGATGTCGTTGAGAATCGAGACAAACTCGAGGATCGGCGAGAGCTTGCGCGACACGAGCTGGTCGAGTTGGTACAGCACATCGAGCTGCTGCAGCTTGGAGACTGCGTGCTTGCACGTCGCCTCAAAGCTCAAGACGGACGAGAGGTCCGATGGAATCGGGATCGCGTTGATGTCAAAGAGCGGCGACGGCACAACGTGCTTGTCGTGCGGGTGCGACTTGAGGTGCAAGTCGCGGAGAATCGCCACCACGAACGAGTAGCGCTGCGCATACGTCTGGAGGTCGATCGTCTCAGCCGCCGTCCGCACGAGCTGCGCCACGTACGCGAGGGCAAAGCACTTGATCTTCTCGACCGAGAGCGTCTGCAGCGTCGGACTCGCCATGCGAATCTTGGTCCAGCGTCCATAGCCAAAGGCCAGCAGCGCCGCCTGTCGTCGACACATAAGATATGAGATACCGTGGAAAGAAAGCGTCCATACCGCAAACGGCTGTGTCTTGGGCGTCGTGCGCAGTGCGTTCGGGTTCTGGAGAAGCCCTTTGATGGGCCCAATCGGCGCATCGTCGTCCTCTTCGTCGTCGTCGTCGGAGCTCGGTGCTGCGTCTTCAATGACATACGCCGCGTCATCGTCATTTTCCTTTTCATTGGCCATCTTGAGCTTCTTGCCCGGTCGACGCGCCTTCTTGGAGCTGCCGGGCAATTCGCCGTCCGAGTTTTCTTCGGCATACGTGGCGAACCGGCCCTTGCAACGGCGCTTCTCGGGCGTCTTGTCGACTACGGTCCTCTCCTCGACCGCGTTGAGGCCAATGACCTTGGTCCAAAAGTCCGGGTCGTCCAGCGCGACTTGTTCGTTCGGGTCCGTCGAGCTCACAAACGTAGCTTTCGAGAAGCTCGACATGGCGTTCGACGCGGCCGGGTCCGGCTTGGTCTTGGGGTCGTGGACGACCGTTGTCGACCGCTTCAGAATGTCGTCGACCGACTCTTCGCTAAAGCGCTTGCTGGCCTCGGCGCCATCGTCCTTGAGCATCTCGTACGCCCCAAACTTAAGCAAATTCTCAACGTCTTCTTTGGACGCGGCCGGAAGCTCCTTGCCCTTGGCTTGGCGAATGCCGCCGAGCACCGCTTGGTCGAGCCCGAGCTTCATGGACGCTTGGTGGAACATGTGCGCTTCGTACGTCTTGGCCGTCAAGAGGCGGTAGATCTTGACCGACTTGGTCTGGCCAATGCGGTGGCAGCGTGCTTGCGCCTGCAGATCGTTCTGCGGGTTCCAGTCCGAATCGTAAATGATGCACGTGTCGGCGGCCGTGAGGTTGATACCAACGCCGCCCGCGCGCGTCGAGAGCAGCATGATGAACGCTGGACTCTCGGGGTTGCAGAATCGATCGATGGCCGCTTGCCGGTCGTTGCCCGTGATGCTGCCGTCGATCCGCTCCTTGACGTACCCACGAAGCCGCAAGTAGTCTTCGAGGATGTCGAGCATGATCTTGAACTGCGAAAAGATGAGCACGCGGTGGCCTTGCTCCTTGAGGCGCGGAAGAAGCTTATCGAGCAAAATGAGCTTGCCGCACGACTGCACGAGCAGCTCCTGGAGCTCCGACGGCGTCACGTGCGGCGTCTCCTTCTGAACGCGGGCGACTTCGCGGGCTTCGGCGCCAAGGATCAAGAACGGGTGGTTGCAGCACTTGCGGAGCTCCATGACAATGTTCATCAAGCTCGGCATATTTGCCTTCTTCGTGTGGCCGCGCTACGCATGGCATGTATCTCGGAAACTATCAAGTTGATACAACGTACCACGAGGAACTCGGTGTTGCGTTCGAAAATCGCACGGTAGTACTGCTTTTGCAGCACTGTGAGCTCGACTTCGATGATGGTCTCTTCTTTCGGCGCAAGCGACGTTTCGACGTCCTCCTTCATGCGCCGGAGCAAGAACGGCCGGAGCTCAACCTGCAGCTTCTTGACCTGGTCCGAGTCGACAAGGTTGCCGTACGCCTCGACAAAGTCTTCGGACGACGCAAACTTTGTCCGGTCCAGAAAATGCAGCAGCGTCCAGAGCTCTTCAACGTTGTTCTGGAGCGGCGTGCCGGTCAGAAGGAGGAGGTTGCCAAACTTGAAGTTGGCCAAGAGAATCGACGCGAGCTTCGACTTGCGGTTCTTCAGTCGGTGGGCCTCGTCGACCGCGACGACCTGCCACGGGATGCGCGCCAGTGTGATGTTGTCCGACGCCACGCACATCTCGTACGTCGTGATGAGCACATCAAACCGGTAGTGGGTCGTCTTCTTGTCGCGCACCGGGGCGCCGGGCGCGTCGTCCAGCGGGTGCGGGAGGTAGAACTCGTACTGCTCGATCGTCTTGCGCTCATCGTGCGATCCATGGTACACGACAGCGTTGAGGTCCGTCCAGTTGGTAAACTAGCCACCGCCATTTCGTATCAAGAAAGTATCAAGTGTGCACCTACCTCGCGCTGCCAGTGGGCGAGCGTCGACAGCGGCGCAATGATGAGGTACGGGCCGCGACGCTGCTCGACCTGGACGAGGTGGTTGATGTACGAGACCGTCTGCACGGTTTTGCCAAGCCCCATTTCATCGGCGAGCAGCGAGTTGCGGTCGTTGTACCAGTTGAAGAGCAGCCAGTTGAGACCCGCGACTTGGTACTCGCGCAGGTTCATGCCGCCCTTGAACGTCGCGGGGATCTTGTCGCCGTACGGGCGGAAGCTAGAGGCCTTTCGGACCTTGGGCGCGCGTAGCAGCGGTCGGTTGAAGGCGTGGTAGAGCGCCACCGCGTGGTCGTCGTGGAAGTCCTCGGCTTGCTCCCACGTGCAGCTCTCGTACCCGAGCGCCTTCCATTTGACAAAGTACTCGAGTGCACCTGGCTCGTCGACGTCTTGGCTCGGCTGGATCGCGAGCACGCGGTCGACGGTGCAAAACTCTGGGTTGAAGTACTCGTCGCCAGCCATCAGCGGCGCCCGCGCCTGCTTTTCCAGGAAGCGCTGGACCTTGCCCTTGGCGTTCTTCTCGTACTCGATGAGCTCCTTCTCAGACTGCCAGCACACGTGGAGGTACGAGAGGTCCTTCCACTTGACGAGGAACTTCTCGACCTCGTCCGTCGGCGGCAGCACCGGGTCGTCGTCGTCGGGCACAAAGATGGACCCAGCCGTGATGTAGTGCGAGTGCATGGCGTGGCACTTCTTCGCCCACTCGGCCACGGTGTGCGTCTCGACAGCCAGCACCTTGTCAATGATAAAGTTGTCGTCGCTCGAGGAGGCGTCGGCAGCGTGTGGCGACGACTTGCCTTCGGTCGAGCTAGCGTCCGAGATGTCCGACTCCGAGTCCGATGCTTCGGACGCTGACGCTGACGCCGACTCGGACGAGCTCTCCTTGGCCTTGGCCTTGGTTTTGCCCTTGGCACGCGAGACCTTGGGCGACGACGCGGGCGGCGGCGAGCAGCGCGGACGGCCACGCTTGGCCGGCTGCGCCTTCTCGGGGGCATTTTTGCGCTTTGCGGGCTCGCGCGGCTCGTTGGCTTCGAGGTACTCGTCGTACGTGACGACCGCGCGGGCGCGCTCGCTGCGCCGGTGGAGGAGCTGGCGGCTGGGCTTGCTCTCGACGGTCGGCTTTAGTCGCTTCCGCGGCTGCGGAGCCGCGATGACCTCATCTTCGCTCGAGTCGACGTCGACAATCTGGTTTCGCCGGCGCGTCCGGCGTGTCGTCTCTTCCGCCATCGACGGGTGGCTGCGTACCGGTGATGCGAACCCTCTGAAATCCGCAAACCCAAATGCACTCTTCCGCATCCGGATGACATCCGGATAATTGAGCTTGGCGCGCAGGCCACCACAACCAATTTTCAAATTTCGAGAAACAAAGTCCAACTGCCTGGTTTCACATCACACAAATTGAGCCATGGAAGGTCGCAGACAAGCTGGTAAAAAGCTGAAAAGGAGCTGCGATTGAGTCTGCACCACTCAGACTCAGTGCGACGGTGACTTCTCCCTTGCGCATTCAAAGCTACAGTACTATGCGTAGATGAGGTACACGTGTACTAGAACTAAGGAGCCTTTCAGTTCGGCAACATCAAGACCTTATGCATTATGTGCTTAGCCGTGTTTGAAATTAATTTTTTTGGTTGCTCTCGCAGAGCCTGCTAAATGTAACTGGAGCCAGGCTTTCAAAAGCAAGTGTGTTGATTCACACAACAACGCCGACGTATAAGCACTACACACTGTAGCTTGTTGTTGTTTTGTTCTATTACTCAAAACAAAATAAAGTAATGTCATGCTGCATCATGAGCTAGAAATCGCTAACGCTGCCATAACAGTAAATAATGCGCTGGCCTAAGAGCTATCCACGTCATGAATGAATTTTGGCCAATCAAATGCCAAGGAATTTGGTGCACCAAGAGGCAGAAATGCACAGCGGAACTTGTGAAGTCCTTGGCACAAACAGCAAAGGAATACCCTTGACTACCTGCAGGTGCAATTAAAAGAGGACCGCTGTAAAAATGGAACGTCCATCCAAACGAAAACGCAGTTTAGCACGACAGATTTTAGCTTCGTATTTCGATTCACAAACTTTTTTATGTTAATATAGAGGTATTGATAGAGCCAAACGAGCCAAATGAAGGAGCCATAGTGAGATTTGGTGGGAGGGAATGAGAAAGCTCACAGTGGTAGTACGTGGTGGCGAACAGCCCTTGCTCCCCACTTCCCAAGGTGCATTCTACTCCATCTCGCGTCATGTCCAGCACCGACGACGAGCCAGCAATTCGTCCTTTCATCAGGCACTGTTTCCATCCAAGCCTTGCGGTTCATCTGGGGCTGCGTCACCACGTCGTGCTGCATTTGCCGTCGGCAGCGTACAACGTATGGCGCAAGATTCGAGCTCAAAGGGTCGGTGCGCGAGTCGCTGGCAGAATGCTTGCGAGCGAAGTTGTCGGTGCGGATGGCAAGGCAGAGCCGTGTGACGTCTGCTAACAAGTGAGACATCATAAGCTTCAAGACCAGGTCGGCCGAGGTCCACAGGCCTTGGCTATCCATTTGGGGCACTTCGAAAAGACAACACACGGCCTAGCACAAAAACTGCACAAAGCTAACGACCTCATCGACTCGGTGGCTATACGCTCGCGCCTTTCATCGTCCACGAGGGCGACACTCTACAAAAAAGGCCACTCAACCAGTGGCTGCCCTACAACGACCAAGTCGTCAAGCCAATCACGGGCCAACGAAGAGTACGTTCGTCTCTATACCAAGATGCTTGGGGTCGAGAGCACTGCAACAAGGCTGGGACCGCGGCTCCATTTTACGACGAGTGGGCGTGTCGACCGGTCTCTCCCGAGCTACCCAATGCCGAGGTTCAGAGTCTTACATGAGGTTTGACTCATTTGCTTGTGGCACTTTAGTCCCGACGAGCGCTTCAACAAGACTCGCCCGAGGACGACTTGGACGGCAACTCCGACGACGAGCAATCGACCGAAAGCTTGGGTGGCGGGTCCCCTCACGACTTGGACAACGCTTCGGAAGCGGCAACGGCAATGAAAAGCCGAAAGCGCGACTTAACTAAGCTAGCAAGAAGAAACATAGAATGAAATGTATTGATAAGCCTGATACATTCGTCGCCACGTTCTTTCTTCCGCGACGCCTCGATGGGCGTCAATGACGACCCCACCGCGACGGTCACCCTCACGCTCGAGCAGATGGACGAGCTCTTCATGAAGTTCGTTGAAAACAACGCTTGGCTCGGACCCACCGGCGTCGACCTCGAGCTCGCGGTCGCGGCGCGTGTGGCCCTCGAGAAGCAGCGGCTCGAGACGACGCAGCGCGAGGCCCAGCGATTGGAGGCCGAAGTGCGCGCCCGTGTGCAGGCCGAAACCCAGCGCCTCGAGGCAGCCCAGCGCGAGACCAAGCGCATTGAGCTGGAGGTCGCCATGCGGGTGCAGAGCGAAACGATGCGTCTCCAGGCCGTCCAGCGGGAGGCCCAGCGCGTCGAGAGCGAAGTGTGGTCCCGGGTCCAAGCCGAGCAAGCGCGGCTGACCGAGCAGCGGTCGACCGTCGTTCCGGCGAGCGGTCGCAAGCCTGTCGCGGCCCGCCGCCCGCCACCCGTGGCGATCCCCGACGGCCCGGTGCGCGCCGTGCGTGGGCCTGCCGCGTCGCCCGAGACTATCATTGTCAAGCCGGCCGTGGTCCAGCCGGTGACGACGCCCAAGGCTCCTCAAATCGACCATCCGTTGGTGTTGCCTGTCGAAAAGTCGCCGGCCGCGCAGTCGACGATCGAAGCGGCGTTTGCGCGCCAGAGGAAGGCCATCGACAAGAAGATCGAGGTCAAGCGCGAAGTGGTTGCCGACGCACCGGCGACCGACGAGAAGCGCACGCGCGCGCGTCAGAAAGCCCGCGCCGACGTGATCGCGATCGACGACTCGGACTAGAGCGACGGGTGACAATGTTG